TAGAGCCGGATTCCTAACAATGCTACCTTTATAAAAGACCTTATAGCCCTCCGACGTAAATAGGGGCGAGAGGACTATATCGACGTCTCTTCCCTATAGTTCCTTCCTAAATTTTTAGGGGCCTAGGAGTTAGCAGAAGGCGAATTAGTGACCTACGAGAGCTAGGAGACTATCGATAATACTAACGAAGAGGGGATTAAGGAGATAGGCCGAGGGGATAATAATAATACCGACTCTGCTTCGGTTTTAGTTTCTATTAAGGCTATCCGATTTACTAGCTAACAAATCGGTCGAGTAGGACCTCCTCGACCTAAGGAACTTTACTCTATCCCTAATAATATAGACCTTTCCGTAGTTACCCGTTCCTTTGCCGTCGTTCCCGCAATCTATATTTAAGTTACTATCGGAAGCTATAGTTAGTAGTTGCTAGCAATGCTTAATAATGGTTTAGAGTCACTTATTATAAGTAAGCGCTAGGCTAAATAGCTCCGACTACTAATAAACAGAGATATTTCCCTTAGTATATAGGGAGTAAATAGGGAGGTTGCGCTAGTAGGTACCTACTATAATATTATAGTAGACGCTTTCGGTATATACTTTTCCTTTACCTTCTAGATTACCGCTAACCCGAATACGCTAATTATTCTAGGTCGACTATAGTCTCGTATAACCCGGGGTGTCTAGCGCAACTGCGACGATAGCTCCTAGGAAGGAACTATCGCTAACTAGAAGGGTAACCGAGTCGTATTTACTAGTTATATCGGAAACACTAGCTACAAGTCCTACGAGGATATCCTTGCTACTTCTAAGCGCTCTTCGGGAAACGCTATAGCGCGGTTGTAAGACCGGTAATCTGCGCTATAAGTTAGTATAGCTTAAATAGGTTATATCTAGAGGTGCGCCGCTCCGTACGTTAAGGCAAGTTTCTAGGCTCTATACTAAGGAGGCGAATGCTCGAAGCGATAGCGAGTATAACAACCCGGCAACGATAACCTAGTATACGAATCTCGGTAATAATACTATCGCAGGCATCGCCGCCGGAAGCGGATCTACCCGAGCCTAAATCCGAACTAACTAATTAGAGCGCCGAGCTAATGCTACCCCGGGGATATTATTAGGAATCTAACGTTTTCGCCGGAATTATAAATTAGGATTACCAGCTATATACCTACCGACTTAAGGAGACTTCTAATAAAGTTTACGCGCTATTCTATTACGCTAATCTCCGGGCCTAACGTTAAAGAGAGAGGGCTCGGGTATTACGAGCGGTTAGTATATATACCCTATATAAGAGGGTAGCTAATAAGATTAAGCCCGTAAAGGGCAGCGTATATATAACCGATAGGTCCAATCCTAGCGGAAATCCTAACTAGCGACAAAAGTGCCTTAACCGCGAAGCGATATTAACACCTAGGGATAGTCTATACGACTAGAGGTACATTACTAAAAAGTTCTCCGCTATTCCTAGGGGATCGAGGCTAATGCCGGAGAGACTAGCGAACATTAAACCTAGTATCGAGCTTTCGGATCTTAAACTAGATTTGCTATACGAGCTTCTATATAACCGCGAAGCCGTATTAGTATATAACTTTACGCATCTAGGCAGGATTAACCCGGAGGTTGCCCCTCTATAGAGGATCCGAACGATCGAGTATAAGCCTTAGGCTTATCTAGGGTTTAAGCTAAACCTAAGCCTAAGAGGTATAGTTAAGGATATAATACGGTAGCGTATAAAGGCTAGCACCTTAGAGCCTTCCTATGCCTCGTATCGCAACCTATACTTCCTAGTTTAGAAGAAGACAGCTCCTAAGGAACTAAAGAAGTACCGTCTAATTAACGCTATATAAAAGTTTAACGTAGTTACGATTAGAGATGCTAACCTCCCTCCGGAGACTAATAGGTTCTCGGAAGCTTTTGCTAACTGTATTGTAGCCTTACTAGTTAATGTTTTCTCGGGCTACGACTAGATCCCTCTCTATCCTAATAGCCGCGACCTTACTAGTTTCGAGACATCTCTTAGGCTATATAGACAAACTACCCTTCTATAAGGGACAACCAACTCCGTAGCCTAGTTCGTTCGTATTATAAACTAAGTCCTCGCGGCCTATATCTCCTATACAGCGATGCCTTTCCTTAACGACATCGGTATTAAGGGCCCTAAAACTAGGTACGATAATAAAGAAGTAGAGCCTAGCATCCGCAGGTTCTTTCTCGAATATATTTAGAACCTCGATAGTATCCTCTACGACCTAGAGCGAGCTAACCTAACGGTATATAGGGAGAAGCTTTAGCTCCTATACAAACGAATAAACATTATCGGGTTTGTAACTAATAAGAACGGCCGCTATCCTAACAATGTACGGGTCCTAAAGATTGTGTCCTAGCCCGACCCTACCTATTAGAAAGATGTCCGGATCTAGCTTAGAGTAGTCTCCTACTTCCGTATCTAGGTCGAAAACTTTGCGTTAGTATACAAGCCTCTATACGCCTTGCTTAAGAAGGATATAGAGTTTAAATAGACCTCCGTTTACTAAGCCGCTAAGGATAAGGTTACTAAGGCACTTGTTAGCGCGCCTACGCTTACCTCTATTAACTACTCGGAAGGCGTAGGTCTGCTAATTATTGCTATCGACTCGAGCGGGGAAGGCTACAGCGAGATACTAATGCAGTATAATCGTAAGGAGCCCTCCTTATATTACCCTATCCGGTACGAGTCCGGTCTATAGAAACCTATCGAGGCCCGATACGATGCTAGCAAGCGAGAGTGCCTTAGTGTCTATAAGGCTCTTAAGAAGTTCCGACCTTAGCTCTTTAGAGTGTTCTTTCGCCTAGAAGTCGACGCTTAGACGCTAGTCTATTAACTTAACCGTATAGCCTCCGACCTGCCTAACTCTACGATAGCTCGGTAGGTTGCCTAGATCTATTTATTTAATTTCGACGTCTTCTATATTCCTAGCAAGAAGCATACTAGACCGGATAGCCTTTCTAGAAGGCCTACTATAGAAGAAAACATCGCCGAGATAATAGAAGAAGAGGATGTCGACGCGGTTATTAACCGTACCTTCTTTACTACCTTCTATATTAACGCTATACTGGTAATTACTAGGTCTACTGCTAACGACTAACCTAGTAACTAGCCTAACGAAGACCCTACTACTAACGGCGAAGACTAGGACGATGCTAAGGCGGGCGAACTAGGTAGGGATAATATCCTTAATAGGGTCTACTCCGACGACTCCTATAATATCGCCTACTTCCTTACCTATACGAAGAGAGCTCCTAGTCTATTAAAGAGTTAATACCGTCGTATTATTCGCTATTCTCGGAGGTTCCTTATTAAGGATCGCATCCTTTAGCGATAGGCTATAGTTAATGCACCGCTCTAGCGTATTATTAACGATCTAGCAGCCCGATAAGAGATCCTTCGTTCTGTTTACGATAAGCTTAGCTACTAGGCGGCGGAGGGCACCTTCGATATCCTTCGTCGACGCTACTAGTAAGACGGCGTATAGGCTAATGTCTCCCGCTACTGTAAGAGCTGTCCTAAGTGCAACTTTAGGAACAGCTACCGGCGTCTAGGAGAGCTACGTATCCCTACTACCTAGTTAGTTAGGGAGCGGTAGTATAGCGATAGGGTCTATCTTAGTCGCAATAATAGCCTATATATTATTCGAGAGGGTCTTTCTCGATAGCCGGAGGCCTATTATTTTTATAAGGGTTGCGGTACTATTAATGCCCGTAATATAGCTACCTTCCTATTTAAGGATCTATTTTGCCGCTAGGGAACACCTTACGAGGTTATCTTAGACAACGCTACGAACAATATAGCTAAGGAGGTTTAAGCGCTACTTGTTTCGTATAGGGCTAAGAACGTTCGTATCTCCCCGTACTATCCCTAGTCGAATACTATTATTAAGCGCGGCTATCGGTCGTTAATTAATGCCCTATCTAAGATAACTAATAGTAGCGACAGATTAGTTCCTATTTCTACCCGCGTCCTAGCCCTTCTCTAGGCAGACCGAACTACTATTGTCGACACGACTAGACTTATACTAGCGGAACTTATAATTGGGAGGGACGCCGTTCTGCCTATTAAATTGTCCTATCGCACGTACGGCGTTTACGATTAGGGGTCTGTTCGTACTAGGGTAGACCTTCTTACCCTACGGGCTAAGGCTCTTAAGGATATAACTACGACTTCTTAAGAGGGTCTTGCTCGACAACGTCGGCTTCGGGAAGAGGCTAAGCAGTATTTTAATAACTATAATACTGTTAATTAGGAGCCTCTAAAGGTTGGCGATATAGTCCTTCTATACCGGTCCGAACTAGAGTATAGTTACTCCTATAAGCTAGCCTTTAAGTGGAAGGGTCCTTATAGAGTAAAGGAGGTCCTTTACTCGGGTTCCGTATACCTTCTTTAGGAGCTAGATAGTACTACCTTGAAGCATACTTACCCTCGGGCTAATCTAAAGAAGATCGTTAAGTTACGCGAACCTGCCTGCCCTCCGCCGACCGAGGAGGAAGTTAGTGCCTCTATAGACCCTCTACTGTCCTTAGATGCCTATCGGGAGGAGGATCCTACCGCTATTATAGATCCTGTTCTGCCTACGAACTATGCCTATCCCTAGATTCGTCTTAGTAAGCTATTAGGAATAACTTAAGAACAAAGGGAGGGTTATATACGGATTAACTATATATAGAGCGTTTCCGATGTTAATTCCGATTCTAATAGTAAACTAGACTTCTAGCTATCTAACTCTAACTCCGAGGAGGAACTCGACTAGTCTAGCGACGAAGACCGCCTAGAATTATAGGTGTTAAACGACCCCGATCCCGAGACTAAATAATTGCTTGCTCTTCCTTACCTCTATCTGCCTCTACTACGTTGCTTCCTTACTCTTGTTAATCGTTCTCCGCGCTATTAATGCAGTGCCGCCCTGTACCTTTAGTCCTTACCTACTGTCCGTTCCTACTAATGTTTATGCTCTCGTTTGTTGCTTTTAGTTTATCTTGTTGTTGTCCTTTGCTTTGCCTTTGCTTTCGATTGATATTGCTATAACTTTATTCCTTTGCTCTTGTTTCCTTAGATAGAACTATACGAGGCGTGTTTTCCTAATAATACTCTAGGGGTAGTATTAGGAAAATGGCCGAACCTAACCTCCCGCCCTTCTAGGACTACTTCCCTCTAGTTTCCTAGTCTCTAGTAACCGCCCTTAGGTAGCAACGATAATAAGATACTCCGCTAGAGAAGATTGTTCCTACCCTAATTAGTATTAGTTACGTAGGATACTAAGAAAGGGAGGATCCCTCTCCCTTCCTAGCTCTTAGATAGACGCAGCAACCTAGGCTTATAGCCTCTAAGGATAGGGACCTTAGGCCGCTAAGCTTAGTGTCTAGAAGAAAGAAGAACGCACGGGCTACGTTTACATGCCTGCTACTATAAAAGGTAATGCTACATCTATAACGACAGTACTATAGGCTAATACAAGCTACGCTAGGCCTAGGCGATTTGCTCCTAGTTGCCGAGCATCTCTAGAGAAAAGCTAATACTACCCTAGGGGTATTATTAGTCCCGCTAGCCTTACTACTATAGATTACTACTAGGTACTCGAACTAACTAGTTACATTTCGAGTGCGCGGGAATCTACGAAAGCTAGAGGTTAATAAAGGCGCGTAGTCGCTACTAGTAATTAGCTAGATCGATTGTTAAACTTTAGCCGCCCTACTAATAAAGGAGTCTCGTATATAGCTTCACTTTTTAGGGTCTATATGTAATCGTTATCCGTTTGCTTTACCGGAATATACGGACTACGCTACCTTCGCACCCTATTTAAGGCAAGCCTTCTAAGCTCTTTCTTCTACTCGAATACTAACTAACTTACTACCGCCTACCCCCCCCCTCTTCTATCTAAACCCTTTAATTATTATTAACAAGCTACGAACGTTTTTGCAAACTCGTTACTAACTCCTTTCCGCTCCGGTCGACTAAGATATCTTCCGGCGCCCTAAATCCGCTAGGCGCTAGTAGCAGTAGCAACCTACTAGCCCTAAACCTAGGCGTACTAGTTCTAATCGAAGCCCCCTCCGATAGCGCCTTAGCTACTACAACTAGCCTCGAGTACTACTTCTAGATCGTTACCGCCCTTAAAGACCCTTAAGAGAAGATCTAGAACGCTCGCACCCTACTACGCGTTATTAATAGGAACATTAAGAAGGCTACTATCTTAGTTACGTACGGTATAAACAACTTACGTTAGTCTATCGGTAAGCGTATCTTTAAGCGCGAGGTTCTTAACGATATAGACATCGAACAAGCCTTTCCTATCGTCTATAGCCTCGAGACGGCCGGTACCTAGATTCGTTTACGCTTTAAGACCCTCGACTAGGCCTTCGAATATTAGGGAGGACTAAGCAGTCTTCCTAAGAGCCTTATTAACTTCGCCTACGGTAGATAAGAGCGTGCTAAGCAAGTCTCTTTGTTCGTTAATAAGTATAAGGTCCGACGTTAAGGCGCCGAGTATCTTTCCCGTACTATAATCTATCGTATATCTACTACTAGCAAGAAGGTAGGCAAGTAGTTACTTAACTTGTCCTTTGCGCTTAACGACTTTACGACAGCCTACTAGAAGAAGTACTACGATGCGATTATCTAGGTCGATCTTAACGTATAGACAACTAAGGATCTACTAAAAGAGAAGGGCTATCGCATTAATAGTATAGGCTTTATTATTAAAGGTTAAGAGGCTCCTATCGTTAATGTCCTTAAACGTAAGGCTCTTCGCCTAGAAACCGAGGCCGATACGGCTGCTAGTCTTACGCTCGCTATAGAAATGTAGGCTAAAGATCGTCGCTCGACCCGCAACCGTAAGGTCCTTTAAGAAGTTTAAGACGAGCGCGCTAAGGCCGAAGCAGCGCGTAAGAAGGCATTATATACTCGCTAGGCCCTCCGTAAGGCTACTAAGAAGTATAGTACTCCTTCTAGTACCGACTATAGTACTAACTATAGTACTAACTATAGTAACTCGGATATTAATATACTAGATATACTACTAGAAGATGTCTCCTCCGAAGGCTCCTTTAGCGAGCGTAGAGATAGAGGCCTCTCGCCGATCCTATTAACTAAGAATATCTGTAGTTCTTATAAGGGCGACTCTATTACGCACCTTATTACTAATATCGATATAGTTCCTAAAGCCGATATAGGCAAAGCTCCTACCGCCCTATCTATCTATTAATAGCTCGATAACCTTAGCAAGCTAGGTAAAGATCGGTTTACTATATATACTAACTATATTAAGAAGGCTGCTAAGGTCTGTAGTCTTTACGCTAGTACTAAGACGAGTGTCCTTATTAGCCGCCTATTAAAGATTAGACGTAATATCGCTAATTAAGATGCCTTCGCTACCCTTAAGGCTAATTAGGCCTATGCTAACTAGTTTCCTAGACGCCCTGTTGCCGCCCTAATATCTCTAGGACTCTACGCGTTCAACCCTACTAGTACTATTACTCGCGCCCTTACGCCGACGGATCGCTAGAGCAAGTTCGTTACCGGCATCCTTAGCTAAGGCACTTCCTTCGACCGCTTTCGCTAGACTAGCAATGCTATTTTCCCTTAAGTCTTTAGCTAGTTGCAAGAGCCTCGTAGAGTATATCTTCCTTTCCTTATCGACCTAATATAGGAGGAGTTCGAAATATACCTTTAGTATATACGTACGATGCCTAAGTCTAAGTAGGAAGGCCGCAATACCCTTTAAACTTATAGTGTAAGCAACTAAATCGTCCGCTAGCACCCTGCCCTATAGCTCTTAGCTGTCGCCCTTCGACCTAATTACGTATACGAGCTTATCTCTATCCCTAAGCCTACTAAGTTCTTTAAGGTTAGCGGTACTTATAAAAACTGTCCTTCTAAGGAGTCTGCTCGTCTCGGATAAGATATAGTTAAGCTCGTAGCTAGCGAGGGTGCTAGTTATCTGCGTATTAAGGTCTGCCTTATGTCTAAGGATAAGACTAGCTACTCTACTATTGTCGAAGGTATATATTAGCCCGAGGTCTTTGCGAACTAGGTTGAGAAGCTTAAGGCTCGTAGCCTAGTCCTACTAAGCAAGATCGGCAAGCTTACTAATAAGTACCTTACCGACGACGACCTCGACTATATATTCGATAGTTAGCCTAATAGTAAGGGGCGTAAGGCGGAGTAGATCCTCAACCCTCTAAAGGAGTACAAGGTCTCTATTTAGATACTATATCTGCTATATAGTAATCTAAAGACTAAGAGCAACCGTATATTAATTAACCTAGGCTACTCTCGCGTTATTAACGGCACTAAGGTTAAGGGCTACGAGAACTTAATAGTCTCTTAGGTTGCTAAAGCGTACCGCAATCTAACCGCCCTCCTAGCCTCTAACTCCTTCGTACTATTCGCTTTCCCTACGGCTATCTTAGTCGAAGGCCTCGGCTATATCTCCGACGCCCTAGTTAGTAGGATTCCTTAGTTAAGTTACGTTGTTTAGAACGAAGTTAAACAGATCCTCTAGCTTAATAACGAAGGACTTAAGGAATATCTATACGATTAGGAGAAAGCTGCGACGGAAAAGGCTATTAACCTCCTCGTTAATTAAGCTTTCTACGAAGGATAGTACTTCGGTGCTAATAGCTTTAACGCGTATAGAGGAGATTTCGAGAGCCGACTAGCAGATAAGGTTATTGCTAGTAAGGATTACGGCGCGTTAAAGCAATAGTAGGTCTATATAGTGTTGCTTAGGAAGTTGTTTTTGCATAATTATAGTATCTAGGATCAATGCTACCCTAGGGGTATTATTACGGAGTTCTGAAAATAGCCTTAGCTAAGAACGCTAAGGATGCATATATGTTTGTTTTAAGCGCGCAATGTGAAGCGTGTCTAGTTAGATACGAAGAAAGGGAGGGATATTAGCTAGTAACCGGCCCTATATCTATAGGCTAGTTTTGAGCCTATATAAGAGGCCTCCTTCTATAGAGTAGATAGATTATCAACCTCGTATAGTACATTGTTTATGTTACACTTCTACAATGCCTATATTGTAGGGCTCTAGTTATTAGCCTAAGCGACAGTCTCGTTATCCTATCTTGCTAAACATAGCTACCTATATTGCTATAGGTTATGTTACCCTCGGTAGCCTATACTATTGCTACAAGTAGTAGTAGTAGTATTGGTTTCCGTCCTTTAATACTATCGAGATAGTGCCTCTAATACTTAAAGGCCTCGATAATAGCTAGGAGCTCTTACTCGTAGGTCTCGTAGCGACGCTCTATATCGATTATCTTTCGTAAAAAGAAGGCAATTAGGTGCTAGTAATTGTCCTTATCTAATTGCTATAATATAATAGCCGATATAGCGAACTATAAAGCGTTAGTCTTAATACGGATCTGCTTGCTTAGTATAAAATAGTGCAATAAGGGGACTTTAGTAAAGCGTTGCTTTAGACTATTAAAAGCGGCTTGTGTTTTGTTAGTCTATCTAAACTCTCTAGACGGGTTAGCCTTAGTTTTAGTAAGCTTAGTTAGTAGCATTATATGCCTCGAATAACTCTTAATAAACCGACGGTAGAAGTTAGCAAAACCTAGGAATAATTGAAGCTCCTTAATAGACGTAGGAACAGGCCATTTAGTAATAGTCTTAATCCGATTAGGATTAGCCTTAACACTATTAGTTAATACGATAAAGCTAAGGAAGGCTACCTCCTTAGCGGCGAAGGTGCATTTAGAAGGCTTATAATATAGTCTATAGGCTCGTAAGCGATCGAGTACCTTACGGACTATAGCCTAGTACTCCGCGATATTAGGGGAGTATATATAAACTAGGATGTTATCTAGGTAAACTATATAAAGGTAGTCTAGTAGGCCGGATAAGGCCCGATTAATATAGGACTAGAATATAGCAGGGGCATTAGCTAGCCTAAATAGTATAACTAAGTACTCGAAATAGCTATAGCGAGTACGGAAGGCTGTCTTCTATTTATCGCCCTTGCGAATACAGATGCGGTAATAGGCGTCCTTAATGTCTAATATAGTATAGTAGTAGGTACTAGAAAGGCGGTCGAGGGCCTTATTAATAAGCGGGAGTAGATGGCGGTCTTTGGTAGTAATAGCGTTAAGCCTACGATAATTGGCATATAGGCGTAGGCTGCTATCCTTCTTTAGTACGAATAGGATAGGGGCGCTAGTAGGGCTATTACTATACCGAATGCGACTATTAGCTAGGTTTTCCTTTAGGTGCTTGCGCAATATAGTAAGCTCTCGTTTACTAAGGTTGTAGAGGGGGCTAAAAGGGACCTCTTTGCCCTCTATAATATTAATCTTATAATCCGTCTCTTTGAATATAGGTAATATCGATGCTAGGTAATGTTTAAATACATTAATATAGGTCTCTCGAATAGGCTCTAGTGTACGAGCAAGCTAATTAGGGTCTATGCTATTAGGGGGCATAGGTTTATCGTTATTACTACCGAGCAGGTCGGCGGTCGGATTAGCTAGGGTTAGGTTACTAATAAATAGGACCCTAATATTATTAGAGCACTCGCTAATATTAATGTATTTAATATCCTCTCTCCTAGCGATTCTAAATCGCTACTATTAACTACCTAAGTCTATAACTATAGTATAGTGCTTAAGGATAGGGTTACCGATAACAATATTAGATAGAAGGCTATCTATATCTACTATATAGGTAGTAAAGTCTAACAAACGCTTATTGCCGAGGTCGTCTTTTAGAACTGTAGGAACATAGTAGGCCCTATAGGTTAAGTGCCGAGCGTTATTAAACTAAGTAAGGACTAGTATATTAGTCCTAGGCAATTGTCGGAGGTCTAATTGCTTAGCTAAGCGATAGTTAATAAGGGCGCTAACTGAATTTCCGGGGTCTAGTATAACCTTTGCCTTATAGTTAGTATCGTACCTAGATATAAGACAGGTACGTATAATAGCTAGTATAATATCGATAGTCTTACGCCGTATAAGGCTAACAGTTAGTACGGCGCTTACTCTTTTTTCGAAGGTTAGCCTATAGGGGTAGCGTTAGCCGCTAAGAGGTGCTTTCGGTATTTAGCGGAAGTACGATTAATTCGGGCCTAGTCCTTAGGTTTGTCGTATTAGCCTAGTAGACAGCTAGTACTATTACAATTGAAGTACTTTAATCCGGTTAGTAGACTGCCGTAGCTGTTATTATTGTTAGTAGAGCGGTTAGTATTATAGGGATACGAGCCCCTTCTACGGCCCCTATCGCGGCCTCCTCTATATAGCCGCCGGCTACGGCCTCTTCTACGGTCGTTACTGTTCCTATTATTAGCATTGTTATTATAGTAGGAACCTTAGTTTCCTCCGCGGCTACGGTTGCTACGGTTAGTACTAGCTAGTCGGATCCTCGATTCTAGTCGTTATTAGAGCTAGATAGCTCGTTCGGCTGTTTCTACTTCGACTATAAATTAAATACGTATTAGGTTAACTTATTCGAATATAGGGCGACGGTCTAATTCGAGGATAAGTTCCTATCTAAGTTTTAGGCGTATTTCCGAGATCTATATAGAATTAGTCTTAGCCGGAAGGTCGTCCTCGAGGGTCTTTAAATAGGCCTCGAATAAGCGAGCCGATTAATTAGTCTTTTGTTTAGCTCGAAGATACAGGTCCTAAGTATATTATTGCCTTAGTATAGGGTTTCTAAGAGTGTCTAGTATAATGGTTTTGTAGGTTTGCTACTAAACAGCGGTCTGATTAGTAAGGGAGTCGAAATAATTATCCTAGGTGCGTTTTAGGTCTCTATTAATATATTGTATAGCATAGACGACTAACGAGTAATCGTCCGGAAGAGCCCTAGGTACGTTTCGCTAGTTAAGCTTATAGTTACGAATATAGTCGTTGTATTGCTTTCGGCTAGAGCTATTAAATATAGTATAGTCCTTAAGTTTAGCATCCTTCTTTTAGACTATAACGGGTAGTAAAGAAGGCCCTACTATCGGCTTAGTATTAGTTATTAGGGCCCCCTAAAGGCGGCGAAGCTCGAGGAGGTTATCCTTTAGCTACTGCTCTTAACGTAGGGCAGTAAGCCTGTTTTAAGTAGCTTCTTAAAGTCTCCCTACTAGTTAGGGCCCGAAGGCTAGTTAGCTATATCGTCGATTAACAATGTTATTAAGAATGTCGTTAACAGGCAATTCTAGATTATCGCCTAGAACTATAGGTTCTTCGGCAGACCTAGTAGTAGGCTCTTTAGTAGGTACTTTAGCAGGCACTTCGGTAGGTACTTCGGTAGGCACTATGCTACTAGTATTGTTATTGCTAGCGCTACTAGCGGCGCCGCGGTTGTTGTTATTATTGTTTCGTAATAAGCCGGCTATTATAATAAGGGGTAGTACTAATAATGTATTATAGCCCCTTATAGTACGGATATAGCGGAATTAGTAGGTATCGACTTAGTACGATTAACTTAGTATAATAGGCCGTATAGAAGGCCTTGCTTAATAATTAGTACGGTTGTTTCGATAGAATAGTATATATAGGTCCCGTTCTTCGGGCGCAATATAGTTAGATTAGTCTTATTCGTAGCTATACCGCTAAAAGCTTAAAATAAGGACTATCTAGCTACTACCCTTAAAGGGTAGATCGAATACTATATAAGAAGGGTATATTAGCAGGTAGATAGGGTAGTAGTAGGTATAGGTAGTATTCGATAAGGAGCTAGGAGGAGAGGGAGGAAGGTAGGCAAGTTAGCCTATTACTAAGTGCTAAGCCCTACCTAAGGCACTAAGACCCTAGCTTTACTCGAGCCCGGTTATATACTAATTACGTATAACCTCTTTAGCCCTAACAATACTACTAGCGTTATCGTTACTAGCGCTACTAGCGGCGCCGCGGTTGTTATTACTTCGTAATAAGCCGGCTATTATAATAAGGGGTAGTACTAATAATATATTATAGGCCCCTATAGTACGGATATAGCGGAATTAGTAGGTATCGGCTTAGTGCGATTAACTTAGTATAATCTACCTCCTTCTTAGCCGCTCCGTAGTGCCTTAGGTTAGCTTTGCTAAGGCTCTAGCGGAGCGTATAGCGCATTAGCAAGGGCCTATATAGAGGTAGAGTATAATAGGCCGTATAGAAGGCCTTGCTTAATAATTAGTACGGTTGTTTTAGTAGAGTAGTACGTATAGGTCCTATTCTTCGAGCGTAATATAGTTAAATCGATAGTTTTCGTAGCTATACCGCGAAAAGAATACTATCTAGCTACTACCCTTAAAGGGTAGATCGAATACTATATAAGAAGGGTTATATTAGTAGGTAGATAGGGTAGTAGTAGGTATAGGTAGTATTCGATAGAGCTCTAGGAAGAGAAGGAGGAAGGCGGGCTAGTTAGCCTAATACTAAGCGCTAAGCCCTACCTAAGGCACTAAGACCCTAGCTTTACTTAGCCTAGTTATATACTAATTACGTATAGCCTCTTTAGCCCTAATAAAAGATACTTTACTTAATCTACTATAGCTATTAGGTAGCTCTTATAAGCCGCGTCGCTATTAGAAGCCCTTAATTAGTAAGCTAGTAATACCTTCGAATCGCGCCTATAGAAGATTATATATAGATATACTATATTTACTACTTTATATTAATTAATCCTCTCGTAAGCTATCTCCTATACTAATTAGATAGTTTAGATTACTAAAACGATAGATCTAAAGAGAGGTTATTACTTCTAAGCGGTAGAAGTAGTAATATATTCCTAAGGTATAGGCGTAGACTTAGTTGTTTTCGAGCGATTACGGCTATTTAGAATAGTAGAAATCTAAGGTAATTAGGCTATATAAGGGGTGTTTCTAATATCCCGATTTGTTTACTAATTTCAGCAGTTTTGGGGCACTCTGTAGGGGCATGTAGAACCCTCGAGGTGTGCTAAAGCTACTTTGAACTTAACTTCTTAGTTAGTGTACGTGGACCCAAAGAAGACCAGCTGGCGACTCAGCCTGCCCTGCTCGTATCATTTCTTGTGTTCCGGAAAATCATCACGTCTGAGCTCCGGCAGGCTGTCCTTGCCATCTGGGGTGAAGCGTGAACGGGTCAGTAGATTGGTCATGTCGTGTATCATGTCTCGGGAGTCGGTACTCCGCCACGAGCAGGATGATCATGCGAAAGAAACCACACGTGCTGATGATGGAGTTGATGCTCGCGCCCGGCATATGCAGTAGTAGCGTTTCACCGCATCGAGAGATGCTGTATGTATTGGATGGTCAGAGGGGGAAGGCCAGTGCTTAGCCACTCGCGGCATCGCCACCGTTCTTGGAGTGTAGCTCATCAATCGATACAGTATCACATCACGGTTCGGGAGCATGATGATGGCGGGTAGTTCGGGCGACCGGTTGGCTGGGTGAAGTCAATTATCATACCGTGGGCATGGACAGCGGTCACAAAATGAAAGGGTCCTCATGCTAATAATTGAGCGACCCAGCCCAGCCTCCTTTTACTGAAGATTTGCATGGATGCTGACGCTCAAATGGCGAAGACCAGACCCAGTATGGGTGGGTGTGTGTGTGTGTGAGAGAGGGTGGTGGCTGAACAGCGGCGCATAATGCTGAAAGGCGTGTACAGCATGCGAGAAGCAGGGCCGGGCAGAAGGCGTGAACAGCTGTGCCCTGCGTTGGAGACTTGGAGTGAGGTCGTCGCGACTCGCTTGCCGCCCAAAAAACGACGATGGCCAGAGGACTAGCTCAAACCTAAGCTCGGTCGGCACTAGCGCCAGACGCGTGCTACACGCTCTTGACGCGAAAGCTCCAGCTCGACGCGTGTCTGCAAGAGCTCCGGGCCTCTCCTCTCTGCTGCACGGAGCATCCTCACCAATGCCTGGGCGCGAGCCTCTTTCGGGGCGAAGCTCTGGGAGTGCATGGCGGGTAAAGGCTGCAGCAAAAGGTCTGTCACAGACAGCGGCCGCAGAGCTGGTGGCCATTGCGGTGCGCCGTTTGGCGGGCGCAGACTGCTGACCGCTGCAGTGCTGATGTATGTGCACAGCTCGTTCTCGCGCTGCCGTGTGACCAGCACATCGCGCGCGCCCAGTCCAACACGTCGCGTCTCACAGTAAACGACCTGCTGGCCATCATCACCGATTCCAACGTTACTTGCAACTCGCACGCGGATCAACCGGGCATGAGGGCTGCATCGCGAACTTTCGTGACGTCTGGTGCTCTTGATACTTCGATCTCTGCGTGAAAGCTTCGATCCGGAATTTGGGTCCGAGCTTTCACTAGCGCCATCTGCGATTCGCCGCGCTCGCTTTCCACAGCAGGCCCCGGCCCCGGCCCCAGTGGCCATTGCCGTTCGGTCGCTTTCCCTCGCCGCCGTCCCTTCCCAAAACCACACCACACTTCCACCCGCCATACCGCCCACGTCGCCCAACCGCCAGATCCCGTACCAGAACATACAATTCCACTTCGACTTCTCGAACACGCCCATCTCCATCCCCATGCCGATCGCGCACCACCGCTGAGCCATGCCGAGCGACTGAGCCGCTCCAGCGCCTGTTGCGACGGCGGCCTGCGCATTGCACCCCGAACAGCGTTTGCACCCGACCCACCACTGGCCGCGCCTCTCGCCGAACCGCATACAGTACAGTAAACACAAACGGATCGCCCTTTGTTGACAGACGCGACGCCATGGAGCGCACGCGTCCTGCGCTCTCAATTGCGCTGCCGCTCAGCTGCCACTACCGCCACGACGACTCCCACATGCCCAAGACACCAGAGGCACAGCAGTGCGTTGAGGCCCAGTCTGCGACCGAGCCGCCGCCTCCACCACGACCTCAGCCCTTCAAGGTCAAGCGAAAGCGCCCATCTGCGCCCTTCCAGGAACCCATCATGCTCGACACCAACGTTATCCCGACAATAGAGATGTCTGAAGTGCCCACGCAAATGTCCAGCCCAACCATGCAGCCGACTTCAGCGCACTTGCTATCGCCTATTCCTATCTCATCTACTCTACACCGCGCTTTCACTCCGCCAAAAACGCCCGCACCAAAGCTGTACACTTCCTTTAGCCAGCTCGAGAGCCCAATGGCCGACGAGTGGGATCTAATCAACAACACGAAGCCGGCCTTCCAACGCGCTGGTAGCGTTTGCTCAACATTCTCCGATTCTTCAGTTTCATCGTGTGGCAGCTCTGCCTTCTCCATGCCGACAGGCGGTGGTTACGACAGCCCGCAGTCGGACGCTACCGATCCCTTCATGGACGACGATTTGACTAAGCACGACAAGTTTATGTCCTCTCCACAGCCCGAGGCTGACACACCTCAAAACAAACGCATCAAGACGCGACGCAATGTCACCTGGACTCCACAGATGGACGACCACCTTTGGATGACATTCATGGCTTACCTTTCCGACCCGACGCTGACGCCTTTCAAGATGCTTCCTGGCAGCACGCCACCGATGGGCGTGTGCGACCAGGTGGCAACCAAGGCCAAGCGAACTTGGCGTCCACGCAAGGTCGTCCCCGTCACTCCTGGCTCGATCGATGCTCTCTTGGAGGCCGAAGCCCGCCAGCAACGAGAAGGTTCACCCGACACCATCCGCCCAAGCACTCTGCAAGTCATGCAAGCGAAGTGGCCCAAGAGTGCTGCTACTCGGCGACGTCTTCGCGAGCTGTGTGCGCGGAGGCCTTCCATATCGGCCCATTACCAACGCATGCTGCGAACTCGCAGTCCGTCCCCATTCGAGACCTCGAGTCCCGCCACCAGTGGACTTCCGCTTTCGTCTTCCTTCTCCAATTATGAAATGATGAAGACGCTTGTCACATCCACCGCACCTTCAATGCAACCCGACAGTATGCTCGCGCAACTTGCCGGTGACGAGCCTCCACCGGCGCCCAAAGCGTCAAGACCACCCCGGCCCGAAGGTTGGTTCGACCGCATACCACGCTCGAAAGCTCACCAAAAGAGCGCTTCATTGCAGTCCGAGCTGAAGATTCACATGCAAGATATGGATCCCAAGCCTCTCGGCGGCCTCCATTCGCCTTTTGATGCAGAGCCTGGTGCTAGTCGCAGCCGCCTCTTGCGCAGCATGGCAAACACCAAGTCTCTTGGCCGCACGGAGTTCAATGGAAAGTCATTGGATTCACCTTTCGACTTCAAAGTCGGCGCGTCAACAGATCGTCGCTCACGCAAGCGTCGCTTCAGATCAGACGAGGAGAAACCACGTCGGCCCGTTCTGACCGATGATATTTTTGGCCCTCCTGTCGACCAGCAGAATGTGGTGCGTGGCCGTGGCTTCAGCGTTGGGGCTGTCCGTGCTACAGACAATCTCTCGAAGCTGTGCACACCTCCGTCCATAAGTATGGACCACGAGATGCCTGACATCTCCATCACGTTGGCAGAGGCTCCCTCGGGGAGCCGTTCTGCACCACGCCGACTTGTAGAACCTGTCCCAAGGCTTGGATCACCTTTCATGGAGACACCACCTCCTCGCCGGCAACAGCATAATACATTTCCTCGTAGCAGTCTGCTCCCATCCATGGGCAACCAGGAGCCTTTCCATCAGCGTTTGCTTGAGCTTGCCAACCAGCATGCTGGCGAAGAGACCTTGTGATCTCAACCAGCCTTGACTCACCTTGTTATCTGTGAATTGCATCTGCGCGGCGTACATGGGCGCTCAATAGCATCTCCAGCACCAGCTGCATGCTGGAGCAAACGACACCTGCATCTCGAAGTCGACGACGGCAGTCGACTATGACGAAACGATATCACGACCACATCCGGCCTCTTCCATTCCATACCGGAGTGGGGGAATGATCCAATGTATCAACTTCTCTTCTCAGCCACACATGCATCGAGCCGCTGTTTCGACCAGCCAGCCATACGGCGGTATACCGATGCTTCTTTTGATATCCTTCTCTTGTGCTCTTTGGACCTTTTTGACGACTCGGCGAAGAATTTTGGTAATATCGGCGGGGGATGTGACGGAAGATGGAAGATGGGAGCCATGTTGCTGACTGAAGATGTGATGGACATCTGACACAAACTTCTCAACTTGCTGCGGCAGTAGAAGATACATACTGGATTTTTCTCATTTCGTTCATGTTTTCGGTCTTGTATCTAGTCGTTGTTCTTTTTTCTTTTTGGTTTCTTTTGTTGCAATGTGGACACGAAGATGAGAATTGATGAGAAACTCCGCAGTCATGATAAAAAAGGACGGCGTTCGGGAGTTGTCTTTTCTGTTCCTCCGACACGTGGTACGCATGCAAGGGCTTTTGGTGGTGGAAGAAGGGGGTTGGACAAAGGGTGACGATGAAGAAAAATTGGTATCAAACGCAAAGAGCTTTGACATGGACCGTGTTGCAATTTTTCCTTGTCCCTTTCCCCCGTATGCTAATGACCACCGGTATGAGATTGGCGTCGCCTCCGGTCTTGCAATCGCTCAGTTTCAACTTTCCGAGAGGATTTCCAAGCGCGCGGGTCGAGCCGCGCTCTTGCCCTCCTTCTCCGAGACATGCTACGCGAAACAAACGCGCCTCCTTACGTGCCTTTAGTGAGCATGCACTAGCCCGTCCAAGAAGCATGAGTAACCATAACAACGTCCTCCATCTGCCCAGCACCCTCCGCGTCATCTCCCTCAATTGCTGGGGCCTGAAGTTCCTTTCCAAACACCGACACGAGCGCCTCACGGAAATCGGCCGACAAATTGCCCAAGCTTCACCCACGCCGCACATTGTCGGTCTCCAAGAATGCTGGACTCAGCAAGATTACCTCGCCATCCGTGAATTGACCAAAGATATCTTACCTCATGGCAAATTCTATTGGTCTGGAATTTTTGGTGGCGGACTGGCGATCCTTTCGAAATGGCCGATTGAAGAAAGTAGTATGTATCGCTACCCTTTGAATGGACGACCGGCGGCTTTTTTCAGAGGTGATTGGTATGTGGGCAAAGGTGTTGCGTCCGCGAGGATTAGGATTGGCGCTGGAGTGAAGGATGTTGTGGAGGTGTTTTGTACGCATCTTCATGCGCCGTATGAGAGGGAACCGAATGATAGTTATATCTGTCATCGGACGGCCCAGGCTTGGGAGATTGCGAAACTTATGAGGCATGCTGCTGAGAGGGGGCATCTGGTTCTTGGGCTGGGGGATTTCAATATGGTGCCGTTGAGCTTGGCGCATCAGTTGATTGAAGCACATGCGCCCGTTAAGGATGTCTGGAGAATCTTGAGGCCGGATAGTGCTTTGGGAAGCTATGAGGTTGAAGCTAGCAAAAGTGGTGCTCAGGTTGGCACTTGTCCGACGGCAGCTGCGTGCTTAGAGGAGCATGGCACGACTTGTGATTCGAAGTTTAATACGTGGAGATGGAGCAAGCAGATGCAAAAGGATCTTGATAAGGGCAAAGACTCCACGGTCGATCCGCAAGCGCAAGATCCAAGAGCGAAGCGACTGGACTACATCTTCTTTGCAGACAATGCAGCGACAACCGGACAGCAATGGCAAGTGATCGATGTCAAAGTCGGCATGACTATGCGCCATCCGACGTTGCGGTGTTCATTGAGTGATCACTTCTCCATTGAAACGACACTAATTCGACAACCGATGCCGAAAGACCAATCTTCGCTCCCAAAATCTCCTATACGATATTTACCACACAGCACGTACCTTGCCATCCAAACCATGATCGCCCAATACGACCGTCGCGAACGGAAGCAACGCAAGTATCGAATCGCACACTTCTTCCTGCAATTCGGCATCTCTATTGGGTGTTTAATCGCCGTATGGTGGTCGCCCAGGAACTTCGTCTCCTTTCTCCTGATGCTTCTGAGCACTCTCGGCCTCAGTGCTGGAGTCATTGACGGTCTCATGGGGTTCCTGTTCGTTGGAAGCGAGCTGCGTGCGCTGCGAGAGTTCAAGCATGAGATTGAGACTGCAGCCGAAAGAGCCAAAGCTTTGGCTGTTGCTAAGACGAGTACCGAAGATGTGCGCCACATTGTACAGGATGAAGTCCAGAACCGGAAGGATGAAGATGAGAGGAGTCCGCAGACTGCAAGAATTTCTTAGTGAGGTTACGGACTGGCTGGCGAGAAGTTCACGGCGAGGTAGAAAGGCGCTCTGCTACCTCAATTTCCCATATCATATGTGCCACTCGCCGGTCGCCCAATCGCTACGCTGCATGTTCCTGGTCAAGATGGAAGCAACCTCGTAGAAGAATAAAAAGGTCCGCTTCTCAAAAGAAACGATCGGCATAAACAGAATTCATTAGGCAATAAATACTCTTCTCCGCGTGCTGTAGACCAGTCTCCTCTGATCAATAGACCGCACGTCGCTGCGTGCGTGCTATACCGTCTTCGCCCTCCATCCCGTCTAAGTGCTGTTTTCTTCCCTGATAGGAAGAACACCTGTTCTTCGCTCATCATATGTACAAGAATGCTCCGACGATGCATGCGTGTAAATCCAAATCTTAGGTCCAGTCTCAGGGAAACCAACAATACACTCTGCAAGCTGAAAAGGCATTGCTCATACTATGCCGTATACCTTCCTTGCGATGAAGTAGCAGACGAGACCGAAAGCGATAAGTCCTGCTGTGATGCAGAAGAACCTGGAAGGAAGTTTAGTAATGCAGCAGTGCAAATCTGAGCGAATGGCGTTGATGACTTACCATGTGAGATCACCTTCGATATCTTGACCGGGAACCCACACGTTCATACCCCACATACCAGTGATAATGTTCATGGGGAGGACGATGGTACCCAAGACAGTCAATTTTCCAAGGACATCGGCGTTCTGTTCAGCCCGCTCGTTCATGCGAATGTTGATCTGGGCGACGTAGTTGCCGTGGGCTCGGCTGAGGAGACTATACGTGTATATCGTCAGTGAATACTTTCCTTGCCAACGTGCGCGTTAGACTTGCCTCTCATAGTGCGATAAATTGGCCGTCATGGTCACGATATGATCCTGAATGTCGCCGAGGTAGAGACCGATCTCTGATCGCGGAGCAACTTCCCAATGCTCGTTGCAGCGCTTCGCAAAGCCCTTGATGACATCTGCCTTGTTACCCAACAGGCGGTACAAGCTCATGACCTTCTTGCGACATTCTCCAACACGTCTCAACATGTCACCTCCGCTCTCGCCGGCAGTCTTCTCGCCTTCTGCCTTCATGGCGCCCATGTCTCCTTGGCTCTGGGAGCGATTGTCGTCCTTACCCTTCGAGCTCTTCGGTCGTTGCTCTTTCTCCTTCTGCGACGAATGAGTACCATCAGCATTATCGGCAGCAGTCGTGTGCATGTATAGAATCTCTTCGTCAATCTCGTCGACCTCTGTCTCAATCTCTGTGACCAGTGGTGCATACACATCCGTAATGTCGTCGATGATGGCGTAGCTAATCCAGTCGGCGGTTGGGCTCATGTAGTCGTTCAGCTGTCGAATTCGTCGCCTCACGTTGGCTGGGTGAGGGCTCATGCTAGAGTGGAAAGTAATGACACCGTCTCTGAATACAATGACATACATGTTGATTGCATCCATGTAGTTCTCGCTGTCCTTGTCCTGTTCAAAGGTCCTGTAGTTGACGAAGTAGTAGGATGGGAACAGCTCGACTTTCTCACGTTGCTCGTCCATCAAGATATCCTCAGCGGTCAATTGATGGATGCCGAAAGCCTTTGAAAGTACTTTCATCTCGGTCTCAGTGGGCTGGAGGACATCAAGCCAGAAGGTGGGTCGAGGACCATATCTCTTCCGCGATGGCTTTGGCGTGGCATTTCCCGAGGCATTCGCTGATCCTCCAGCCGTCTTGCTCATGATGGATGGCTGACGACTCTGCGTGCCCTTCTCACGCATTGCAGCAGGGTCCTTGATATTGGTCGTCGCAGTGGCTGCGGTCTCGAGGGAATCATCTCTCGGCAGCACAGGTGGCTCAAGGGCATTGTCATCTCCTGCGCCTTCGTCTTCAGAATCGTCGGAATCGCTGAGGGCGATGGGGTCCGGTAAGAACAGCTCGCGGAAGGTCATGCCGTCCTGCAGGTCGCTGATTGTCCTTGCGTGAATTGTGCCATCCAGAGTCTCGTTGAAGTACGTGAACCTGAAAGGAGAATCGTCCTCCTCACGATGCCATGCGGTCTTTGCTGGTCGAAGTCTGCCATTGACCATGACTGGCTCTGAAATCTTCTTGGCTCGGAGAATTTCCTGGTGTGTACGCTCTTCCTTCTCTTCCCTGCTCCAATGGTCGAGAATTTCCAGGTCTGGCCACTTCCTACCACGCCTTCGTCTGGGCCTTTCGGAAGACTCATGTCGGGGGCGTGGTGATTCCTCCCCATGATCCGAGATATCGACATCGTCTGGGAAGCAGACATCTCTTTCTGCAATATGAGCAAGGGTCGGCCTACGTCTCATGCTCTGGGGCGAAGTGCTTGCGAAACGTTGGTCGTCATCGACAACAATATCAACAATGGCATCGCGACCACGCTCACTTCCGCCGGCAGCGAGGAAGACATCGTCCATCGTGCCAAGCTGTGGCGAGCCGGGCACTGACGGCGGATTGTTGACATGGTGCGACTCCTCTTCGCTGCCATTTCTGGCCGTCGTGACGATCTGAGGACCTCTTCTAGAGGACGTCCTCGAGTCCTTCGAAGATCTTCTCCCACGATAGGCAGCCTGACTACCGTAGCCAACGGCCAGGGCACTGTTATGTGGCGATAGATTTGGTTGCGAGCGATTCTTGCTGGAGAGCAGTGGCGTTCTATCATTGGAGGCATCGTGGTCATCATCGTCTTCACTTATGACGGCGCCTTCGGCATGCGCCAGGCGCGATCTGGGGAGTCCAGAGGCTGATCTGCCCACAGATGTATCGGAGGCGCGGTGATGATGTCTCGTGAAGGGCAGGCTCACCCGCGCCAGACTGTTCTTGATGGTATCTCGCCTTGAACGGGCGAATGCTGCGTGCTCACGATGATCCAGCAGGGCCTCGCTTTCCAAGCTCGTGTTGCTAGCGCGCCTGGCGGATTGCTGGACACGATAGTAGCTGTCTCGCTGCGATGCATGGCGAGTGGAATCGAGGAGGCTCGGTCGCTCGCCGTCGGCTGTATCGTCGGTGGGTGCTTCTGAAGGCGCTATGAAGCTCTGTCGCCGGTTCTTCCTCCTCCTGCCGCCTCGATGTCGCTTCTTCTTGGGGGCGCCGTTGGGGTTCGTGGACGATGACTCGGCGGGCGCAGGCGCAGGCGCAGCGTTGGCGCCGGAGATTCGGTCAATGTCTGCTTGTGAAGCTGCGGCCATGGTGGAGTTCTGTCTGGACTGCGCACCAAGGCTCGACAAGAAAGAATGTTATCCGTCACTCACACGCACACGCACTCGCACACGCACACGCATGGCATCGGTACAGGTAGCATGTGGCGTTACTCGTGCATCTAGGCCTAAAGGAGAGGGCCAAAATAACAATGACTCGGGCTCGGCTCGGTGGAATCGAAAATGTGTTCGGCCAATTGACGCTGACGCAATCTCCATATGGCATTCCAGCTTCAGAACTTGGCGGCCAGTGTTTCCATCATAAACGCTGATGCCAGTGGCCACGGGCCATTGGCGCTGGTCAAATGGGAGTCGGTATTGCATTGCATTAGTGCTCCCATATATCGCATCGGGAAGTGTGTCGTGTTCCTACATATCGCCGCATGGCCGCACTCCTCCCACACATCCTCAATCCTGATCGTGAGATGCCCAGCCCTACCTCCATTCAGGCTTATAGGAGGAAGAATTACGTTACATCGACTTTTATTAACATTTGATGGGACTTTTACGACATTTCAACAACATATAACTGATTCTTCGCCTATAAGCCTAAGGATAAACCGGGCTAAACTAGCACGTAGAATATAGCTATTTGCCCTTAGAGGCTATAATATAACTATCTCTACGATAATATTATAATCTAAGTAGCTAAGGTCTATCTTAACGTATCTAACTAGGCCCTCTAACTCTAAGAGCGAATGCGACGGGGTATTATTATCGCGTACTACTTAACGCGAGGAAAAGCGAATTGCGATAAAAGTCTTAGTATTTACCCTTAAGGCTAATACTCTAGGAATAATAAGGTTAGCCGGAAATCTATATATCTAGAGGGCCGAGAGATAAGCTTATAGAAGGGTATAAGAAGAGTTATATTAGTAGGTAGATAGGGTAGTAGTAGGTATAAGTAGTATTTAATAAGAATCTAGAAGGAAAGGGAGGAAGGTAGAAGAGTTAGCCTAACGCTAAGCGCTAAGCCCTACCTAAGGCATTAAGACCCTAGCTTTACTCGGCCTAGTTATATACTAATTACGTATAGCCTCTTTAGCCCTAATATACGCTTCCCTTCTAAAGGCCGCGCCCTCGTAGCCTATTTATATTCTAATCTCGACCTCTATTACTACTAACTTAGCAAATCTAATAAGCTGCTTAGCCGCGCTAAATTAAACACTTAACTACCTAATTATATAACTATATCAAACCTTACCTTCTAGCACGATATCTAACTTCTAACTACGCTATTACTACTACTATAGTAATAATAAGGTATTATATAGCTATATAAATTAAAGGCTAGCAACTAATTACAATACGAGCGTACCTTCCCTACTATAATAGGTAGGTATACGGGGTATTGTAGTACTACTCCCGTTCTAAGTAAGATTGTCCGAGTTCTTTACGTCTACTCTTAAAAGACTTAGAAATGTCCGCTCCCGAGGGTTGTTCTTATTATTACGAGGGCTATTATTTACTGTCGTAGTTTTACTAGCCCTAATTAGTTAGGTTTAGTAGCCTTTAATTGTTAATCTTATCTTATCTTTTTAAAAAACATAGTTATCTAGTTTCTATAGATAAAGGTATAAGAACCTAAGCAAGTGAAGTCTCCTATTATGCCTTAGCAAGCCTATATAACAATTATATAATATTATTACGTATACTGCGGTACTGTCTCGCTAGCGCAAAGCCTGCTTAGCGTATACGCGGAAAAGCTTAGTCGCTCGTACGGATATACTCGGTTACCGGCTCGGTATATATACTATCCGTACGTAGCCTAGTTAATAGTAAACGCTCTGCCCTATTCTAAAAAAGGTACGGTTTAGTTCTACTTTCTACTATAGCGATTAGTAGAGGGTATTCTATACGTTGCTATATACCTATTTTCTTATAGTTCTAAACCGTCTACCCTTCGTAGCGGCCTATAGAACCCCGAAAGATAAACGTAGGCGATCCGAATACGTCGGGCGCGAGAAATACGTAGAATAATGCCCTAGGAGCGCCGACGGTATTAGAAAACGACGCGGCGATATAATAAGACGAAGCCGAATATTAGGCGCGCCGAGAAGCGACCTACCTATAGCTCGAACGATTTCTAGCTAAGTAAGAAGTGCTTAGGCTAGAAGTATAGGCTTAAGAAGCTAAGCGAGAGAATGCGCGTCTTCGTACCCTTAGGGACGCCGGCGATACGCTAGCTCCGAGTAGCGGTACTACCGGCGAGAGTCCTATAAGGACCCTATCTCTAGGCGACGACGAGAATAAGGACAAGGAAGAATTAGCTAATAAGTCGATTTAGAGGCCTAAATCCTAGAGAGCTAAATCTATCTCGTATCGACTACCTCTTTCTAGAAGTATACTAAGCGTAGCTACTATACTATTACGAAGGCAGGCATAGGTATAGGCTAGGTAGGAGGCCCTAGCCTCCTATAGTATATACTTCTCTAAGCCTAGATAGACTTGGAATAATTATCTACTTTATAATATACGATATATAACAAAATAGTAGCTTCGCTTCGAGCACTAGCGTAAAAACACGTACTAACTGTCTCTAAACGGACTATCCGAACTACGGTTTACTATTCCCCTCTCTAAGGCGAAAAGTCCTCCGCGCCGAAGGAGAATCCTAACGAACTACTCTAATACTACTTTCCGCACTATAGAACGCCGCAGCTACGCTATAAAGAAAGAGGCTATAATTTAGTATAGAATATACGAGATCTATAGGCGAATCGACTCGGAGATCGACGATAGACCTAGCCTAGCGCCGTAGCGCGCTTTACGCTCCCTCTATTAACACCTTACTTGCTAAGGGTAGGAGCGTTAGTTCTAGTTAGTAAGAGCCGGGCACCTAACCCTCCTAACTTCCCCTTACGGTACAAGTATATAGAAGGTTCCGATTACTCTTATAGTAGCTACTATAGCCGTACCTACGGTTAATATCGAGACGGTATCCTATTCCGCCTCTTAGCTAACAATATCTATGCCTTAATAAGGGAGCTTATAGCATTAAAGGACTAGGAATCTCCGAACGAGCCGCCGCCTATAGCCTAGGAGGATTGTACTCTTCCCGAGTTAAAGGAAGACAGATACTACCTAGTTTATATAGTATATATACTATTAGCCTTCTCGAAACTAAGGTAGTATCTAAATAAGCTGTTCGAGAAGGATCTTAGGTATAGAGTTATCGCTATTACCGAGTAGTACGAGGATCCGGAGGAGGCTAAACCTCTACGTCGCCTAAGGTTATAGTCCCGTATTCTAGATATAGATAAAGACGCGACTTCTAAACCTTAGATACGCGCTAAGATTATTAGTTCGTAGGTTAACGACAACTCCCTATCGCTTTCCGCTATACGATAAGTATATCGCCTAACTTCGTACTAGTCGGATAGCCTATACTTCGCTTAGTAGCTAGTAGAACACCTTAAGTCTACTAACGAGAATCCGGCCGTAGGCGAGAATTAGCTACGTCGCCGCAAGGTTTATATCCCTCTACGACTAGAGAAGTAGGGCGTCCGTCGCTCGATTAAGGACGAGAACTTAGGCTAAGCTAAGCCTAATAGACGTAGAGAGTCTTTCAAAATTAACCCGCTAACGGGTAACGTTTTTAAGAATTTCGGTACCTTTCGTAAAAACGACCCGCCTCCTAAGCCTCGCGAGAGCTTATTAATCTTAGTGTCTAGTAGTTCGATACTTAGCTTACTACCGGATTCCTAGCTAGAGGGAGAAGATATATTAGGTAAGTAGGCTCTAGGATCTATAGCACCGGCGAACGGTATAGCCGGCGCTAAATAGCGAGATGAAATTAGACAAATAAAGTCCTAGGTAGCTTAGTAGCTAGCCGAGCAACGTACTAAGGCAGATAATAACCGAGCTACGGATCGTATACGTCTATAGAGGGTACTAGACGAGCAGCGCGAGGCTTACGAGATCGAGATATAGGCTTAAATCTAACAAGCGTTTAACGAAGGCCGTAAGGAGGCTATAAGAGCTAAGAATAAGAGTAGAGATAAGGGTATAGAAGCTAGTAGAGTACTACCTCCGATAGCCTTAGAATAGCGCTATACTATCGATACGAATAGTATCCCTAAATTATTCCTTACCGACGAATAGCGACGTCGAAGGAGGAATGCTAAGTCTACTAGGCACTTTAACGACGAGGTTACCGCTAATAACAACGCTACTACTAATGCTAATACTAGGAATAATAGGAATAATAATACCTCCGCTAGCGCTAATAACGACAATACTAGATACGATAAGCTAGAGGCATTAGTAGGAAAACTAGTAGAGGTAATATAGTCTAATAGCGCCGCCTTAGCGGCCCTACGACCGAATAATAACTATTCTAGGCTACCGGGGTAGTAGCGATATAGAAATCTTTACGTAATACGTAGCCGAACTAGCTAGGGTACGACTAGAGCTAAGTAGCTAGCTAATTAGAATCGGAATGCTCGAGCTAGTATTATACTAGAGATTAGCTCGGAACGCTACGCCTATAGAGGCCTTAACGCTAAAGGCAATCCTAGGCCTGCCTAAGATAAGGCCGGCTTTATAGACCCGAGGTTCGAGCCCGCCGACGTATATACTCTACTATACGCTAGTCCTCCTTATACTCTAGTTACGGACTTTAGCTAGGAGGTCGCGCCCTATAAGTTTAAGCCTAAGTAAGTTAGGTATTTTAATAAGGACCTTCCGGAGAGTAAGGGCAAAGGCCTAGTTATATATATTAGTAATACGGCCTATTATCGAGACGTTTTTACTTTTATTACTCGCCTCGATATAGCTATTTAAGTAGGCGAGTATCTAGTAGCAACCCTGCGTCTATTACTATATAAATGCCTTTAGGGCTCCGCCTTAGCTTAGTACCTTTACGGCCTTACTAACGATCGACGTACGCTCCTTTA